GCTGCAGTGAGGTGGCATCAAGGGGCTCCAGATGGGAGTCTCAGTGTCTGTGGGGGAATTGGGTACAGCCACCCAAAGTGCTGGCTGCACCAGAGGCACGTGGGTTCACTGCACACCCACAGGGTTTGGACCAGGGGTCGGTCACTGTGCCARTGTCACCATCCTGGCACAGGGATGGACAAGGCACGTGTAGGGCAGGGGACAAGGCTGGTCCCTCTGGCAGGAGTGGCCACTGTCAGTGGCTGCTCCAGCTCCACCGAGATGTGTCCTGGGCATAGTGTGTGCCAGGGTTTTGTTTGTGGCTGTTTCTTGCTTAGTGAAACCCCAGTGAGGAAGAAAACACCCCAAAACAATCCCTGRGATCCATCCCCTGACACTGCAGCCCCCAGCAGCGCTTCTGGACAGACTCTCTGGAAATCAGCTGGTGCTCAGCTGTTCTTGGAGGGGGTTTGGGTTTTGATGATGTGGCAGCCCAGGTCTGGCTGGGTCTGGGATGCAGGACTGGGGCTGCAGGCAGCCTTTCCATCGGCACAGAGTGGGGTTTGGGACACAGGGCGGGGGCACGGAGGAGCTTGGCACAGCACACTGCGGCGTTTTGATTGTTTTTGGCCTTGGGGGGCTCATTTGGTCCCCCAGATGTGGGGTCTTTACCAGGCAGGCAGCATCCATCCCCTGAGCCCTCCCTGCGGCTGCAGAGGGACRCAGGGACCTGGATCCCCGGTGGCTCTGGTGGCACTGCCCATGGCACCCGTGCCCAGCCACGAGGAGCACCCCCTGGCCGAGAGCTGCCCCCTCTGCTCTCTCATCATAGCGTGTTTTATTTTGCTTGCAGATCGAGACGCTGGCCCTCCGACGTTTCTGCCTCGCGGCCGTTTTCATGGTTGCTTGAAATGGTCGATGGTCTGTCTTTGTAAGTAAAATGAAACACCCGCTCTCATGAGAGACCCGAGCGCAGCCGCAGCCCCCGGGGGTGCTCCCCACCACCAGCCCCCCGCCCTGCCCCGGCGGGTCACGGGGATGGGGACCCCGACCCATCCCGGCGCGGGGACATGTGTGCTGTCCAACTTAGGAACGCACCTGTCGCGCGAATAAAAGCGCTTGTGGCCGCCGGGTTATTTTTATTTCGGCACCTCTTGAGCGGGCGGCGGGCGCTGCCCGGCCGGAGAGCGAGCGGGAGCCCCCAGAGCAGGCAGGGCTGGCAGGGCAGCACGGCACCCCCAGGTCAGTGCCATCCCAGCGGGGACGGGGGCGCGGGGCGACGCGCGGTCGGGACGAGGGTGACGCGTGTTGTCACCCRGGGAAAGGTCCCTGCGCTCACGTGGGGCTGGTGTAGGAGAGAGGGGTGTGCCACGCTGATGGTTGGTACCCCAAAACGTGCCCTGAGTGTTGGTGGGGTGTTCAGGTCGCTCCTGTCCTTCTGGCTGGGCAGGGGGACAGAGGTGGCGGCGTGCTGCAGGCCGGGCTGGGCTCGGTGGGGAATGGCTGCTGGGTTCTCTGTGGGAGTGCTGAGCAGCTCCAGGGGGGCAGGATGGAGCCTTCCCCCTTCTCTCGGCTGTTGAGGAGCTGGGTCAGACCCTCACTGCACTGGGGGATGTTCTGCATCCCCTCCTCCCCTCCAGCCCCCCAGCACCAGCGTGTGTAGGGGTGCAGCAGCACCCTGGAGCTTTGGGGGRGCTGCCAGCCCCACATCCCCCAGCAGGACGCTCCTTTCACCCCATCCCGGTCCCCGCGGTGCCAGGCATGGCCATCACTCTGACCTCCCGTTCTGTGTCTCCCCAGTGATGAACGGGAGCAGCCACTCGCCCACCGCCATCAACGGGGCTCCGTCCACCCCCAACGGGTTCAGCAATGGGCCGGCCACCTCCTCCAGCGCCTCCCTGTCCACCCACCAGCTCCCTCCAGCCTGTGGTGCCCGCCAGCTCTCCAAGCTCAAGCGCTTCCTCACCACCCTGCAGCAGTTTGGGAACGACATCTCCCCCGAGATCGGGGAGCGCGTGCGCACCCTCGTCCTGGGGCTCGTGGTACGTCC